ACATAAATACATCATCACAGTATCCTCCAGTAAAAAATAGGTTTAAGTCATTATGATTTCATGTCTGTAAAATGTTGAGATCTTGACCTCCCAAAACACAAAAGTCACCAGTTCATCACTTCAGTCTCTCTCTTCAAAATACAAAGCAAAAGAAGGAAAAAGAATATGGTGGATGTGTTTATGGGGCTTCTTTTTCTTATCAGTATAAATGATGTACATATAACAATGATCTTTGCAAAATCAAGTAGGATTAATAGCAAGCACTAGGATCATTAGAGACTATATCATCTCATTTGACTAAGAGAAGAGAAACAGATTTCTAACTGAAAATTTAAACAAAGGCTTTAGAGGACTATATAAATTAATTCTATGAATGCTTCATTTGGTTTATTTACACATTCATTTCTTCACTCTTTCAACAAATATTTAGTGACTACTTTGTTCCTGACCCTGTCCTACTTTTTTACTTTTATTTCCCTAAAAATAACCTTCCTGTAAATTCCAGGAATTTTCAACAACACTCTCTTAATGTCCAACAGTAGACCTGGGAATTTGTAGAATTATTCTTCCATTTGGACAGATGGGAGCGCATTTCCTCTTGGACTGGGTTTTGAACGGAAGAGGAAAACCACTACAATATATCATAATGGATTTGAGAGCACTGATCAAACTTCAGAAATGCAGACCAGTTTCAGCCAATGTTGTATTTCTGTACTTTATGTTTCCTGAGTCACGGCTTAGGACTGATGTTAAGAAAAGGGCCCCTCGTCATGAAGTCAGAGTTGCCAAGGCTTGCTGGGGAGTTACCTAGCCTTGCAGAGCCAAGGCCTTATCTCAAAGGATAAGGTGGAGCTTGCTCTCTTCCCCCTATTGCGAAATATGAGAATATTAAGTAATCTGTTTATATCATACAGATCCAAAACCCTGGCTGACTTTTTAAAGGATAAAATATCCATAGAATTTCCTGCTCTTTAGAAAAAGCTACCTGGGATCTTCCTCTCTCAACCTTGGTTCACCCAACAAAATTTGCCAATTTCCCCTAAGTGTGTTTGAAACGAAAAATCAGTCTTGTTCCTCAGAGTGGGCATTTCTGGGTCCCCCTAAAAAGCAAGGAGATCAAACCAGTCAATCCTAAAGGAAATCAACCCTGAACATTCATTGGAAGGACTGAAGCTGAAGCTCCAATACTTTGGCCACCTGATGCAGAGCTGACTCACTGGAAAAGACCCTGATGCTGAGAAAGATTGAAGGCAGAAGGAGAAGGCGGCGACAGAGGATGAGATGGGTTGGATGGCATCACTGACCCAATGGACATGAGTTTGAGCAAACTCAGGAAGACAGTGAATGACAGGGAAGCCTGGAGTGCTGCAGTCCATGGGGTCACAAAGAGCTGGACCTGACTTAGCGACTGAACAACAACTGGTAACGTCAATTTGTCATTTAACAGACCAATTCTACAGGAATGCCTGGGCTGGAGCTGGAACCTCTGGGTATAAACACAAACATGGTATCTGAAATGTTACAAATTTTAAATGAGTTTACCCACGGTAAGCACTCTATGCCAAAAATGTTAGCTTCAACAAACACACTGTAAGGTAACCACTGAAAGAGCAGACATGCAAGCTTCTCTTTATTTTAAAGATTAAAATTGACACCGGGTTTCCTTTCTCAAGAGTATCTTTTTAAACCATTATTATAAATGTACAAGAGGCCTGCATGCTAAGTCGCTTCAGTCATATGTGACTCCATATCCTATGGACTGTAGCCCGCCAGGCTCCTCTGTCCATGGGGTTCTCCAGGCAAGAATACTGGAGTGGGTTGCCAGGCCCTCCTCCAGGGAATCTTCCTGACCCCTGGATCAAACCCAGGGATCAAACTCTTTCGTCTCCTGCACTGGCAAGAGGGTTCTTCACCACTGGCATCACCCAGGAAGCCCGGTTTGTCAGGCAAACTACATGAAAAAGAGCTTTAGATCTTTAAACTTATCCCACATAGATAAATTCACTATTTAAACAGAAGATGCCTCCTCTTCTGATTCACTCTATTCCTTGCGAGTTTGCAGCTGATGGTTTTCTATTGAGTTTTTAGAATGCAGATGAAGTGTCATGCCACCCTCTGAGAGTAAAGTTGAACCAGGTGAATTGAGGGTGTGGTTGAAAGTCTCAGACTGTCTACCTTTCTCAGAACTACAACATTAGAAAGAACTATGAGGCAGCATTTGACTCTTTTTGCCTTCAAGCTGAGATGAATCCAATCATCCCAAATTGAGTGACCTTAGAAAAAATTTTAAAGCATAATCATATCAAAATAACCAGAGTTACTGGAGGTCACCCTAATACTCGTTTAATGGGAGTGCATCTTATTAGTGCAAATTACTTTAAAAAACAAAGTTTTATTTTAAGTTCACTTTTGCCAAGTATGCTGCAATATACCTCAATCATAGTTATTCCAGAAACAAGAGAAATACTGTTTGGGTAAAAGGAAATATGTTTGATAACAGAAATGCTAGGTGTTCCAGCTCCTTGCCGTTTGAATTTCTGATACTTAAAATAGAGCACTTACTTCGGACATAAATGTACCAGAAACTCAGCTACTTCACAACAAAAATAAGTCTTCTTTCCTTTAAGAACACTCTTCTCCATGCAATTAAAAATATGAGACAGACTCATGTCCTTGAGGAAAATAATCCCATCAAAATCCTGATCAGAGGTATTGACAGTCAAATCAATTGTATCTTCATTCTCAACCACTGGAATCATGCATGGTAAGCCATTCAAACCCATCTCCATTTCAAGTTCTTTACACTGTCACCTAGAGTTACTGTAAAATTTAAGTGCTACCACCCTCACCAGATGAAGCCAGGTGAGAAAATGGTAAGGTCAACTGGGAAGGCACTGAATTAGAAACAGTACTTCCTAATTATATTTCATGACCTGTACTGTAAGGACCCCACACTGTTGGATGCCTCCCCCAAATCATGGCCATAAGCAGCCATCCTACATAGTCTCAGCATTCAACAACAGCAACCAGCTAAACAGGCTTTGAAAGAAATGTAACCAACCCACACTCCACTCAACATGAAAGATTATCATTAAAATAGAAGTTTCACCAGAATAGGAAAATACACAAAATCCACATAGCAAGGTGAATCACCACAAAGCCAATCAATTTCACAGATATTTTGATCATCTTTGTCCTTTTTGGTTTGTCCTTAAAGAAATCTATCTACAGATTTGTGTGCTATTCATTACATTGTTGTCTTAATTTTCTGCTTGAAAAATCAAGGGGAAAACTGCAGGAAATAAACGTCTTAGTCAAAGTGTTAAGAAACCCATGTATAATATCCTGCTCCAGTAAAGGGCTGTCAATCCTACAGATATTACAAACTCAAGAAGTGATTAACATCTCCTGAGAACTTAGCTACAGGGTTATTCTCAAGGAACATACACACACACAGAGTACATGTCATCCCCAAACTCTCACTGATTTTTCTACTTTAATTGTTCTGAAATGATCAGATATTTGCTCAGTCCTACAGTGTTTCTTATAGTTATCTTCTATGACTTTAAGATTCTTCTCTCCTCTTTGACACTGGGACAGTGACAGAATCACCACAATGGAGATTTAGCATCAAGGGTTACAAGAATCTTAAGACAAAAGTTTTACTATTTTGCTTTCACTAGCTTGGCATTTTCCCACAGTCATGCTGTAAAAGTGCAAGGAACCCGTAAAACAATAAGAACAAAAATATTGTGGTTTCCTTTTTCCTAAGAAACATAGGCATCAACTTCTAATTAGTCAGTCTCAAGAGCGTACATACGGGAAGTGGGAAGGTGGGGGTGCAGGGAACCCCCCCTCCAACACCACACAATCAGAAGAAACTCACCAAGGAGACCTAATGGCCACATTATTCAAACTACCCCAGGTGGCACAAGAGCATCACTTGCCTGGAATCTGGTACTGAGGCTGGTTGAAGAATCACTCCAACACACACAGCACCCACCCGCTTTACCCAACCCCACCACCTCTCTGATCCCAGTCTTTAGTAGGCATTAAGTAATTTACCAAACAGTACCAATCAGACTAGGGAGTTTTCCAAATACATATGAATTCACTCTCGGGTGATTTTAAAGGCTAGAATTTATGATGTGGTTAACCAGTAAGTTTTACTAAACTTAAGGAATACTATCTAAAACCTTGCTTATTTTTAAAACTGTCATTATAAATGTTAGTAATACCCTGTATATCTGTGATGCCTTCACATACTTATTTTAATAACTATTAATTAAACCCTGCCTTCTCACTATCAAATAAGTAAGATTATTCCCATATTATTGATAAGTCAAGAGACAAGAGAAGAGAAAGCATACTGAAAGCCCCATGGTACCAGCTAAAATTTAACCCTTCTTTGGTTTTTAACTGGCACTGGGGAAGATTAGCAAAAGAGCTACTTGGGGATTCTAAGTGAAAAAAAAAAATACTTGTCCATCTTTTCCTAACAGAGATGTGTCTGTAATTACCACTCTTTATATCCTCAGCTTAGACCCATGTTTCTTGCAGCAATGGTATCATTCTCTGTCTGTAACATCTGCTTCTCTATCCTGCAGGCTACAAGGAAGATATTAGAAGATACTGCCAAATATATCTATATAAATCTAGCAGCCTCCTTGAATTAGTCATTGGATGGCGGTTCATATAATCTGGCAAAATATTTATTTTTGACAGAGCAGCACAGCTAACATAGAAACCTGCTTCAAAGTCAGACCTCTTTTTCTTGTTGTTACCTAGGCAGGACCACACTGATTCAGATTCTGACAGTCCAGGGAAGTTCTTAGAATTACTTTCTGTGCTGAAGCAAAATGTGGAGATGAAATGAAACTCCAGGGATCAGCTTGGGTTTTTTAACTTCAAAATTATAAGACATATGCCACGTATGGGTGCTATTATCTACAAAGACGTATGTATACAAATACAGACTTCCCCAGGCCCATCCAACTCACCTTCTACTTCTTCTTCATCACACACGTGCTTAAGGAAGGAAGCCCCTCTGTCCAGGACAGCTTCATCCTCCATCCTATAGTAATAAAAAAGAAAGAAAGAATGCTCAGACTTCTCCTGGAGGGAGCCACCGGACGAAGCCCAGCTTCTGGGCAGGTGAACCTGCAAGCTGCTGCTCATGGTAACAGGGCAGAGTCCCTCTTCCTTCGGCGTCTGCTGCTCCTTCACTCCTTCAGCTCCTCTCATCGGGTGCTTCAGAATATGCCGGTCCCACATAGCTTCCGTTCTAACCTCGACAGGGCCCCCGCAGGGACAGGTAAGAGAAAAGCATCTCAATCCTGGAGGCTGGATGTTGGGGGTTCTCCCCTTTGGGATCTGCCCCCAAAACAAAAAAAGATGAAAAGAAAAAAAAAAAAATACCAAGAGAGGAAGTGTGGTGTGCCTGGAGTGCTCGTGATGGTCGTTTGTGGAAATCCAGCTTCAGTGCTTAGCTCTTTAAACACCCACTGCATAAAAATGTATACCCTCACACACACACGCACACATGCACACCCACCCACACACAGAAAGCGACAGGGAGTTAGACTACTGCACAGTGGGAGCCTAGCTTCCAGCCAGCCTCTTAATACCAGCACAGCCCAGTATTCTCTGTCGAGTGGCAAGCTTTGAGTCACATGTTGGCCTTACGGAAATCTGACATCTGAGGATTATCCAGCAACCCCGGCTTCGGCAACAGTCACATATACATGCCGCCCATTCATTCATTTTCCACATTCTTAACACACGTCTCTGTCTATGTATATCTGTCCTGTTAACTCGTCCCTGAAGGGCATGAAGTGCTGCATTTTGTAACCATATTACGCTGTCCTCCTGTCTCCTTACATAATAGGATCTACTCTGCAATTTCCTAGGCTAAATAAGACCTCAGGATCCATCCAAGTAATGACAGCGTTTGTACGGCCTCCCAACGCCAAATGTGTCTCTGGTTTATAGAACGAGGTAAGGCTGATTTCCATATTCGGTGACTCCTTCTCATTGCATCAACTTTGACATACAGAATTCCATGAACTCTATTTATAGTGAAAGCAGAAAGAACTCTCGAATTGCTCAAATGCTGCTACTGTCGTACCGGCCTAGAAACAAAGAACTTTCTCTGGGGACAGCTGCTCGATGTCATACCATGCATGAGCCCCGCCAGAGGACCAAATGTTCACTCTGTATTCTGTTCATCCAGTTATGTGCTCGGGCACTGAATACTGCAGGTCTGTTTTCCATATTGTCTTTGTAACTTATTCTTGTGCTTCCCATATTTGTTATCATCTATATGAAATGCACTGAATTCACTTTTTCTTCCTTTCTATTTCAGGAGCACACAGCAACCATCTGAGCTTAAAAAGTCAGAAATTTGGTGTCAGGGAGACACCAGTTTAAAAAGCTTATTCATACCTGTATCACCTGGAGCAAAGTATCCAAATTTTTAAGCCTCAGCTTTTCCATCTAGGAAACTGGAGGTAATAATATCAACTATGTGGGATTGCTTTGAAGTTAAAATCAGGTAACACACATGAAAGCACTCAGTTTTATGCCTAGCACCTATCACATGTTTAATAAAGTTATGTTTCTTTCCTGTCTTCTTTCCTTTTTTCTTTTTTGCCTAATCTTGGTTGGTGGACAATGGCATAAAGAAGCTCATTACTTTGGAAAGTTGAAGAATCTTCTCTTCTGGAATATGGCTCTTACACACAGAAGTTCATCTTTTCCTTTTCTATACTCAAACTAAAAATATAAACCTAAATGCAAACAGGAAATGGGTCAGCAAACAGGATCACAGTAAAACAGAAAATGCCACGAAGACTTGAGAGGTCAAATCAGTTACCAGCCTCCATGAGCCTCTGTTTTCCATGAAAATTAAATCATCCAACATACTCACCAATTCAGCAAATATTTATTTAGTGTCTGCTACGTTCCTGCCACTATTGGAACTGGTACTCTTGGAGGGAGAGGAACACATCTTTGAATAAGGCAGGCAAAATGCCTCAGAAACTAATAATAAATAGATGAACAAGATAATCTTAGATATGATTAAGTGTGATGCAGTAAAAAAAGTAATAAGGTAGTGGGCTACTTAGCATTAGGGATTCAGATGTGGCTTCTGAAGAGGTGACATTTGAGCAGAGCAAAAAATGATAGGAAGGAACCAGACATTTAACAACCTGGGGGCAGAATATTCCAAGCAAAAGGAATAACAATGCAAAGGCCCTAAAGGAGCAAGAAGTTTAGCACGTTTCAGGAACAGAGTGCGGCCAGAAAGACTGGACAGAGGGATGGAAGGTCACTGGGAAGTAACAATGTGGAAGGAATCAGGGCCACCCAGGCCACGGTAAGAAATTAGAATTTTAGGTGTTATGGCAGCCCCTGAAGAGTTTTCGGATGGAAAGGGACTTGACCTGCTTTGTCTTTTAAAAGACCACTCTGGCTGTTCTATAAAAAATTCATGCATGCGCGTTAAGTCACTTCAGTCGTATCCAACTCATTGCGACCCCATGGACTGTAGCCCACCAGGCTCCTCTGTCCGTGGAATTTTCCAGGCAAGAATACTAGAGTGGGTTGCCGTTTCCTCCTCTAGGGGCTCTTCCCAACCCAAGGATGGAAACTGCATCTCTTAAGTCTCCAGGTATCTCAGGAGCCCAGGGAAGACTACAGGAAAAACATGTTTCAGAGAAGGAATCAAGAGTTCTTTTCTGGAAAGGTTATGGTTGAGATGCTTATTATATATTAAAAAGGAACTGTCGGGCACACAGCTAGAGGTCAGAGTCTGGAGCTCAGGAGCCGAGGGCTGGGGATTAAAAATTGGGAATCAATGAATAAAGCTGGTGTCTGAAGCTATTACTAGATGATATCATCCAGGAAGAAAATGCAGAAATAGAGAGGCTGACCTAAGACCAAGTGCCAGGCATGCCGGGCATGCCAACACTTACAAGCACAGCAGAGGAACAAAAGCAGTCAATGAGGTAAGAGGAAAACCAGGAAACAGTGATGTCAAGGAAGCTGAGAAAAGAGAGTGCTGCTACTGAGAGGCTGAGAAAGAGTCAGAATAGAAAGGGGTTTGGCCAGAGGGAGGCCATCAGTGATGATGACCAAAGCACTTGAAACATGCCATACACAGTGCTAGACACACAGAGACAGCATTCAATCATCTCCTTTTCTCTTTCCTGACATCCTCCATTCATTCACTAGTGAATATCTGCTTAGTACCTACTAGGAGCCCTTCTGGGAACTGGACATACAGTGATGAGCAAGACAGACAAAGGCTCTAGTGTAATCACATCCACCTTCTTGAAGACGTCCCCTAGCAATCTGAGGGCTGATCCAAAGAGCAAGAACCCACCAGTAATACAGCATTTGTAGACCTAGATAAAGATGACAGGTTAATGGAGAAATCTCCTTAAAAGACCTTGGAAACACAACAAAATACTGGATCTTGTACTACCGCATCTATACTCCTAGTGCTTACGATCTCCCCCTCAGGAAACAAAGAGTGGTGCAGCCCACATTTCTTCTCAAAGTGCACGCTTTCTGGTCCTATAAACCTACAGAATCCAACACAACCTCCTGTAGTCATTTGTGCACCCCTACCATTAACCAAGCTGGTCCCAAAGCCATTTACTAACTTTTCACACATTTCCTAAATGAAAAGGTCAGCCTTTGCACCTAAGCTCGTCCCCAAATCGCACACAACAGGCAAAGCAGAAGTGAAGGAAGTAAGCAGTAACAACTGAAGGAGATGGGACAAGCTCTAATGCCGGAATCACTGCCTAGGCGGAGAAAACCATCCAGCCTGACTGAAGCACTGTCCGCAGGCTCCGGGTTAGATGGCAGGGGCATTCTTTGGCTCTTTGATACATATTTCACATTCCCTCCAAGACTATACATAGCAAGTAACTAGAAACCTAGTTCTTTCTGGTGGACAATGCGGAGCATCTGTAAGCACCCTCATCCCTGTAAAAAAGTGCAAAGGAAAACGCAAACTGAAAATACAGAACCTGCACGCCTAGAGCAGCCCTTTCCTCATCAAGAGCAAGTGCAGCCCAGCACATCTGCGCTTTGACACAGGGTCCAGGGATTTGATAGCTTTCTTCCATCTTTACACCACAAGTGTCTATTGTTGGGGTTCATGCACCCCCCACCCCAGACCAAATCCTCTCAGCAGTTGCTTGCTATTATTAGTAAGACAGAGATATCTTTTAAAATGACCCGTCTGACCAAACCAGTTTTTCCCTCTATCAGTAGGAAGAAATGAGTTCCTCTAGTTCCTGATCAGGCCCCCAAAATCGACGCTAAAATGTTCCTTTCACACCGACTTCACTTGCTGAAAACAAAGAAGGGAGGGAGTATGCTTCTAAACAGTTCCCTAGGCTGCTCTTGTCACCAGCATGAGGCAAAGTTCAGAATAGATTTGGAAGCTTCTCACCAGCATCACGGGGAGAAGGGTCATACCCGTCAGTATAAAATCCACACGGGGCCAACACGGCCTTCCTTCAGCAGGACCTCTGACAGCAGAAGTCAGACCCCTTCCCCCAGCAATCCACATACCCAAGGTGGGGCTTCTCCCATCCTCCGTTATGCTGGGAGCTGCAAGTGATTTAACTGTAACCCATGTCAAATCAGCTGCCAAACGGACCAGCCCTCAACAGCCGGTCCTAATCACTCCACAGGCTTGTAAGGGTGACTTAAGCCTGGCACGAGAAACATTTGTGCAAAACTGTCGGCCATTGGGCCCTGGGCACCCATCTACATTCCAGCCCTCTGTGTTCCCAGCCCCAGAGCACTCGCCAACTGCCAACGTGCTCACCAGCTAGTCCACACAGCGCACGCAGCTGCCACTCAGCCAGTCAGCAAGTGGCAGGCCGCCAGCACGCAAGTTTCAGAACGCGAGCACGCCCCGCCACAGTGCTGCTAAAGGTTGAAGGTCTCTGTGTGCTAGCCTTTAGATTTGCCTCACTTGCCCTCCCACCTCCCTTCTCCCATCCCTCCCGGGTTCTGCCTCCCACGGTAGCATTTCACTCGTCTCTATAGTAACAGCATCTGGTTTCAGGGTTATAACTTTACGCAGAGCACTTCCCCTCCGAAGCAAGGGCTTTTGCCAAAGGATGCACCAGCAGCAAAAAGGCTGCTGCTTAAGGCGGAGCCACATGTTCCCTCGTCACCCCCCCGGAATGCTGCTATGTTCTCAGCTACAGGGTCACAGCAGCGGCACCGCTCAGACCCAGGGAAGCAGAAAGCAGCCCTTCCACCTTGGCATGCTCATGCATACAGAGAGGAATCATTCTGGAGCTTGCAGCCCCACTCCCACCGCCGACCCCCCTCCTCCACACCCTGCTCTCCACTTTGCTGCACGGGGATCGAATGAATACTGGGGCTTCCGGACTCCTTCCAAGAAGGCACCAGATCATGCACGGCACCCTCAGGAGCAGAGGAGCTCCACTTGTTCATAAGTCTGTATCTGAGCTCG